TGCTATATTATACTATGCCGTGCTATATTAAGCTATACTATACTACAGTGCTATCTTGTACTATACCACACTATATTATGCTACACTATGCTACACTGTACCGTACAATGCTATATTATACTATAACATAATAGTACTATTTTACGCTACACTATGCTATGCTATGTTATATTATACTATGCCACTCTATATCATAATACACTATACCACACTATGCTATATTATACTATACTGTACCGTATTACTACACCACGCTATGCTACACTATGCTACATTTTACTGTACCACACTGTATTACACTACACTACACCCACTATCCTGCACTATGCTATATTATACTATACGAACCCGTATGCTACACAACAATACAGTACGGTGCACTATACTATACTATACTACACCTCCTAATATTATACTGTGCCATACTATGCTACACATTGCTAAAGTGTACTATATAATGCTATCTTATACTATACTGTACTATATTGTGCTATACTATATTACACTATACCACACTATATTATGCTTCACTATACTACACTATGCTATGCTATACTATACCACACTATATTATGCTACACTATACTACACTATGCTACACTATGCTATACTATATTATCTTATACCATACTGTAGTGTATTATTCTACACCATACTGCATTACGCTATGCCATATGACATGCTACACAACAATACAGTATGGTACACTATACTACACTATACTTTCTTATACTGTGCTATACTATGCTACACAATGCTAAAGTAGAGTATACAATGCTATCTTATACTATGCTGTACTATATTATGCTATATTATGCTATGCTATACTGTATTACACTATACCACACTATATTATGCTACATAATACTACTATGCTATGCTATACTATACCACACTATATTATGCTACACTGTACTACACTATGCAGTATTATACTATCTTATACCATAATGTAGTATATTATTCTACACTTTGCTGCAACACCCTGTGTCATACTATACGCTATGCAACAATACAGTATGGTGCACTATACTATACTATACTTTCTTGTATCATACTGTGCTATGCTATGTTATAGATTCAACCCACAACATGAAGTAATTATCCCAGAAGCACCTCTGTCCTTCCCTGCCCCTAGAAACACTGTCACCCCAACATGATATGTACCCTGGGGAGGGGAGGCAGGCACCCTGTAGCTTTCCTCCACGTAGGAAGGAAGCAAGGGATGGCAGTGGTTTGTCCACTTTGGGGAGGCCACCCATCTTGGTGGGTCTTCCTTTCCTCATCTGTACCTGTTCACCCCTCACATGAACCAGCAGAGGTGGTTAAGAAGCAAAGGACGTAATTACAAAAAAGGGAGTCAAAAGTCTCAAGACCTAGTTAACGTGGGAGGAGTTGGGTAGAGGGACCGGCTTGGAGGCCATTCACCTGCAAGCTCACAGAAGCTTCGGTCAGCGATGGCAGTGGTGAGCGGGACCAGGTGGGGGACAGCACGCCGTGGAGAGCAGGGAGGGCACTGTGTCCTGCTGCCACCTGCCCCACAGCACCCCTGCACCACCTCCAGGGTGGGGCACCAGCAGGTTGGATGTCCCCGTCAGAAGGCCACCAGACGCTGCCATGTTGGGTTTCACTGAGCACAACAGACCCACGGACCAACTTCCTACCAGGGAAGAGCGAGGGGGAGGGAGAGTTGGGTTTCCTGCATCTGTCTGCAGCGGGGAGTGCCTGCGCCTT